AGTCTTTGACTATACGAGAGGTTCCACAGCACAGAAGAGCGCAGGTGTGATTGCTGAGACATCCCCCCGACCAGGCAGCCCCGCGGGAGGCTGGCAGCCCCAGGCCAGACCCAGAGCGTTCCAGGTGGGCACGGCTCGGCCTCCGCCCCGTGTAGTCCCCAAGGCGGGAGCGGGGCCGGCTTCAAGGGCAGTCGCTCGCACCCACCCCAGCTGGCTTGATGCTCTGCTGTTCCCGTCTTGAAGTTCTTGGTAATTTTTAAACAAGAGGCCCAGAATTTCATTTTCTTCAAGCCCCGGCTGGAAATCAGCCTGTAAGAGACCCCACCCCGCCCCCGACAGGTACAGACATACTGGCCCCGTGCGCAGATGCGCCTGCACTCCTGGGTGTCATGATGCTGGGTGCGCACACGCCTCCCACAACCGGAGATGGGAACAGAGGCCCCCAGCTGTGCCCCGCAGCCTACCCCACGTCTCTGAAGCCGCAGCTCCACCGCAGGGCACAAGGACCCTAGGGCATTGGGAAGCATGTGGCCCAGATTCCTGGCAGGTGACCTGAAGCCCAGAGGTCGGGCATGAGGAAGGGAAGGAGGAGGAGGAGGGAGAGACCGCTAAGGGAGGGGAAGGGGTGCTCCATGGCAGAGATGGCCATCTCTGGAGGCCTGGGTCCTCCTGGAGTAACCGATGTGGGAGGTGGCAGGTCTGGGGAGGACTGCCGTGGGAGACCTGGGTGCCCAGGGAGGTCCCGCACCTCTGCCCACCCCTGAGGACCTGCCCCAAGCCTCTGCTGCCCCCCAAGGGTTCTGTAGAGAACTGCAGCCCAAGCCCCGGGGCAGCACCCCATGCCCAGGTCCTCGCTGGGGGAAGGGGACAGGGGGCCCCCGGAACAGGAGGCTAGTCTGGAGGTCCCCTGAAGGCCCACACGGCCATCCTGGCGCTTCCCATGGCCCCTACCCTGTCCTTCCCCTGAGGGTTCTTTGGTGGGTCTGGGCCCCAGGAATGGGTCAGAACAGAGGCCATGCATCGGGGCCCAGCAGAGACCCCAGGAACCCTGGGACCCCGACTCTGACGGAAACACCCGCATGGCGCCCGGCCCCCTTCTGCTGGCCATGCAGGTACAACCCGAGGGCAGACACTCAGCCGTGGGCAGCGCCTCCAGGGAGCTCGCATGTGACCTGGGCAGCGCTCAGAGCACCTACTCGTGGGCCAGGCAAGGGGAGGTGCCACGGGGACCTGGGAGGACCCCAGGCTGACTGGAAGAAGCCAGACCCCACCTGCAGTCAAAAACACCACCTGAGCCACCCCAAGGAGAGCATCTGCCGCCAGGCTAGCCAGTGGCACCCCTGCCCCATCTCTCCTGCATCCCCCTGTGGCTGGGGCTGGAAGAAGTGGCAGGCGAGGCTCGAGGGTCCCACGCGGGTGGGAGGGCAAAGGGAGAGCTGGAAGGAGAAGTGGTGGTCGAGGCTCGAGGGTCCCACGCGGGTGGGAAGGCAAAGGGAGAGCTGCTCTGGGTGCCTGCACTCAGCCCAGCACCCAGGATGCAGTCCCAGTGCCCCCCCAAGACCCCTGTCACTCCCTTTCCCATCTACAAAGCCCTGCACACATCACCCAGGTGAGCAGATGAGGCCTATTCAAGAAGAAATCAAAAGCCTCAAACAAGGCCACCGAGGGCCAGCAGGAGCAGGGGCTGGGCTTGCTCCTGTTGCCAAGTTCAGGATTCACACTGGGTTGCTCAGACACAGGCAGGGGCCCGGGCAAGGCCACAGTGTCAGAGCTCAGCCGGGGACGGTCCTTCCTCAACACTCCAGCCAGGGTGTTCTGGGACCTTGTCTCCAAAGTCCAGCCCCTCCCCACGGGAGCTCCGATTAGACGCTCAGGTGTGTTGTCAAAGTGTCCGGCTGGCAAGGCCCCTGGGCCGGCTAAGTGAGACCCAGAGGCAAGCCCACTGCTGCCCACCACAACCATCCAGCCCCGCCGGGCTGTGACATACCTGGGCTGGCCACAGGAAAGAGGCCAGGCGCTGCTCAGGGCCCCTGAAGGCTGACCAGTGGGCAGGCAGGCGGTGGGTGCGACCAAGACAGCCCCAAGCTCTGCGGAAGGAAAGACGGGCAGAGTGGAGCCCTGGCTTCCACCCTCAGCACAGCCAGAGATGCTCCTAGACAAGGGCAGGGAACCACCCCCTGGGGCCAGGTCCCTACAGGGCAGAGGGGCAGTCGGGGGTGGGCAGGGGGATACACCACCAGACTCGGGGGAGAAGACCACTGAGGAGTAGCCCCAACCAGGAGAGCTTTGAATCAATGACTGAGTCACCAAATTCTGCCCGTTCAGGCCTCTGAGACAGCCAGGCAGGGACACAGGCTCACTCACAGAGACACGGTGTGCAGAGAACACATGTTCAAAGACATATACTCACAGCACAAGGACACGCACAGACACAGGCCAACGCACACGCTTGCACCCACACAGACACGCAGCAGTGCCTCCCCGCTGGGGTCCCAGACCCCTGGACCAGCCTGCTGTCTGCTTCCTGCCAGGCACGAGCACTCCCACCCCACCCTGCCTTGGGCTCTGAGCAGACACCCCAGCTCAGGAAGGGGGCCTCGCGCCCTCCCCATGGAGCTGTCAGCAAGGACCCTCAAGGCCCTCCTCCACCATGGGTTGGGGAGTCTGTCCTCCTCCTGCCACTCATGGATTTCTGGCCAGGGAGAGGCCCCAAACTCACCTGGGCAGCCAAACGCAGTGCCCAGCACTCCCTGCCCTGCTGGCTCCACCCCGCAACACCTCGCCCCTCAGACCCGGCTCTCTGGAGTGAGGTAACTGTCCTTCCAGTAGCCCAAGGGCAGGAGGAACCATAGAGGCTCCAACCCAACCCTGGCTGAGCGAGGGCCCCAAGACAGACACCCAGAGCTCTGCAGGTTGGAAAACCCCAGCGGACTGAGCTGCAAGGAGACCTCGGACACCCACGAAGCCAGAGGGAGGTCCCCCCCAAGAGGGGCCTGCCCATGTGACAGAGCAGCCTGTCTGCAGTAGCCTGGGTGCCAGGCCAGTGGAGCAGCCTCTCTGAGCCCCAGCAGCAGGGCAGCAGCTCAGTCCTGGCCCAGCCCAGAGCCCGGGGTCGCCACACAGCCCAGCAGGGGCAGCTCAGGACAGACAGCAGAGCCAAGCCCACACACCCTGACTCCCCAGGCTCACAGGCTCTGAGGTGGCTTTGAGGAAGCAGGGAGGCCCGCCAACACAAACAGCTTATGCTGTGGGCTTCCTGGCTGCCTCAGCCCCTGCGGGGCCCCAGTGCCCGTCCCAGGCCCTCACCCTGGGCGGGGGGGGGTCCCAAGCAAGCTAGCACCCCCTCATGCATACAAGGAGCAGGGACTGGGGGCTGCACACAGAGTCTGGGTGGGACCAGGCCTCTCCCACCCAAACCTGAGCCCTGGAGGCTGGAGACACCACTCTGATCCCCCCCACCAGCCCCAGGGGAGGGACAGACAGTCCAGAGGTTCCCCAGTCTTTCCTCCCAGGACCACCGAGGCCAACCCCACACTCCAGGCCTTCCCCGTAACCCTCCCCTGCACTGTTGGGTATTCCTCTTCTGGGAGTTGGGGGTGAAAGCAACACACTTAGGACCCTGGGTGGGGGGCACCTTCCCACAACCCCCAGGCTCCAGGAGCAGCCGCACCGTAGGTGCCATCCCACCACAGCCCGGGCCCTGACCCGTGCAACCTAGACCCCTACAGAACAGTCTGGGGGGCACATTAGGCCTGGGCAGCTGCATGGCAGGCAGTGACATTCCCAAATGCCACCAGCCCAGGCATGTGAGTGGTTAGGCTGGGGCCAGTTCAGCCTTGGCCCCATCTACAGACCCCACTGCTCAAAATGCCGATCTCCCAGGACTGCAGGGAGGACGTGGACGTCGTGGGTACGGCAGGCAGTGGCCTTGGCTGTATGCACCGCTGAGGTGTCGGGCACGTGTGCTCGTGACGCCGTGTGCACACACCCCACCCCACCCCACAACATCCTCAGGGTGAGCACACATCTGTCCCAGCTATGGACAGGGCCAAAGGGCACAGGTGTGGGGGCGAGGCTGGGGACACACACCATGATCACCCTCTCCCAGCCAAAGGCCATGCCTGGTCTCAGTGGCAGGAGGGATGCAGCCCTCCTGGTGGGCAGTTTCTGGTCCCACCTGAGCTTCACAGATAGGGAAACACGGGCTGTGATCCCAGACCAGAATGCAAGTTCAGCTGAATCCCATTGAGGGCGCAGCCCGTGCTCCCCCTCCCAGCCCTCCCGGTCCGTGGCTGGCCTGTTTCCAGGGCAACACCCGGGGTGGGAGGGGCTCAGCAGCTAAAACTTCAATCATGGGTTTCCCCTGGTCACTTGCCCTGAAGTGACCCCTCCTCTAGCAGGAAGCGCTTGGGGGAGCCCACCCTCCGCTCCCTGTGCCCTGTGCTGACCACAGGAGGCTCCACAACGCCCCCTTCTATGAAACCAGTGCCTCGCCTCCTGGCCCCATCCCAGGCCCTCCCCAGAAGCCAGGCCGGGTCTGTACCAACACTCCACACCCAGGAGAGAGGGGCCCCCCCTGCCACCCCCTCTCCCATCTACAAAGCCCTGCACACATCACCCAGGTGAGCAGATGAGGCCTATTCAAGAAGAAATCAAAAGCCTCAAACAAGGCCACCGAGGGCCAGCAGGAGCAGGGGCTGGGCTTGCTCCTGTTGCCAAGTTCAGGATTCACACTGGGTTGCTCAGACACAGGCAGGGGCCCGGGCAAGGCCACAGTGTCAGAGCTCAGCCGGGGACGGTCCTTCCTCAACACTCCAGCCAGGGTGTTCTGGGACCTTGTCTCCAAAGTCCAGCCCCTCCCCACGGGAGCTCCGATTAGACGCTCAGGTGTGTTGTCAAAGTGTCCGGCTGGCAAGGCCCCTGGGCCGGCAAAGTGAGACCCAGAGGCAAGCCCACTGCTGCCCACCACAACCATCCAGCCCCGCCGGGCTGTGACATACCTGGGCTGGCCACAGGAAAGAGGCCAGGCGCTGCTCAGGGCCCCTGAAGGCTGACCAGTGGGCAGGCAGGCGGTGGGTGCGACCAAGGCAGCCCCAAGCTCTGCGGAAGGAAAGACGGGCAGAGTGGAGCCCTGGCTTCCACCCTCAGCACAGCCAGAGATGCTCCTAGACAAGGGCAGGGAACCCCCCCTGGGGCCAGGTCCCTACAGGGCAGAGGGGCAGTCGGGGGTGGGCAGGGGGATACACCACCAGACTCGGGGGAGAAGACCACTGAGGAGTAGCCCCAACCAGGAGAGCTTTGAATCAATGACTGAGTCACCAAATTCTGCCCGTTCAGGCCTCTGAGACAGCCAGGCAGGGACACAGGCTCACTCACAGAGACACGGTGTGCAGAGAACACATGTTCAAAGGCATATACTCACAGCACAGGGACATGCACAGACACAGGCCAACGCACACGCTTGCACCCACACAGACACGCAGCAGTGCCTCCCTGCTGGGGTCCCAGACCCCTGGACCAGCCTGCTGTCTGCTTCCTGCCAGGCACGAGCACTCCCACCCCACCCTGCCTTGGGCTCTGAGCAGACACCCCAGCTCAGGAAGGGGGCCTCGCGCCCTCCCCATGGAGCTGTCAGCAAGGACCCTCAAGGCCCTCCTCCACCATGGGTTGGGGAGTCTGTCCTCCTCCTGCCACTCATGGATTTCTGGCCAGGGAGAGGCCCCAAACTCACCTGGGCAGCCAAACGCAGTGCCCAGCACTCCCTGCCCTGCTGGCTCCACCCCGCAACACCTCGCCCCTCAGACCCGGCTCTCTGGAGTGAGTAACTGTCCTTCCAGTAGCCCAAGGGCAGGAGGAACCATAGAGGCTCCAACCCAACCCTGGCTGAGCGAGGGCCCCAAGACAGACACCCAGAGCTCTGCAGGTTGGAAAACCCCAGGGGACTGAGCTGCAAGGAGACCTCGGACACCCACGAAGCCAGAGGGAGGTCCCCCCCAAGAGGGGCCTGCCCATGTGACAGAGCAGCCTGTCTGCAGTAGCCTGGGTGCCAGGCCAGTGGAGCAGCCTCTCTGAGCCCCAGCAGCAGGGCAGCAGCTCAGTCCTGGCCCAGCCCAGAGCCCGGGGTCGCCACACAGCCCAGCAGGGGCAGCTCAGGACAGACAGCAGAGCCAAGCCCACACACCCTGACTCCCCAGGCTCACAGGCTCTGAGGTGGCTTTGAGGAAGCAGGGAGGCCCGCCAACACAAACAGCTTATGCTGTGGGCTTCCTGGCTGCCTCAGCCCCTGCGGGGCCCCAGTGCCCGTCCCAGGCCCTCACCCTGGGCGGGGGGGTCCCAAGCAAGCTAGCACCCCCTCATGCATACAAGGAGCAGGGACTGGGGGCTGCACACAGAGTCTGGGTGGGACCAGGCCTCTCCCACCCAAACCTGAGCCCTGGAGGCTGGAGACACCACTCTGATCCCCCCACCAGCCCCAGGGGAGGGACAGACAGTCCAGAGGTTCCCCAGTCTTTCCTCCCAGGACCACCGAGGCCAACCCCACACTCCAGGCCTTCCCCGTAACCCTCCCCTGCACTGTTGGGTATTCCTCTTCTGGGAGTTGGGGGTGAAAGCAACACACTTAGGACCCTGGGTGGGGGGCACCTTCCCACAACCCCCAGGCTCCAGGAGCAGCCGCACCGTAGGTGCCATCCCACCACAGCCCGGGCCCTGACCCGTGCAACCTAGACCCCTACAGAACAGTCTGGGGGGCACATTAGGCCTGGGCAGCTGCATGGCAGGCAGTGACATTCCCAAATGCCACCAGCCCAGGCATGTGAGTGGTTAGGCTGGGGCCAGTTCAGCCTTGGCCCCATCTACAGACCCCACTGCTCAAAATGCCGATCTCCCAGGACTGCAGGGAGGACGTGGACGTCGTGGGTACGGCAGGCAGTGGCCTTGGCTGTATGCACCGCTGAGGTGTCGGGCACGTGTGCTCGTGACGCCGTGTGCACACACCCCACCCCACCCCACAACATCCTCAGGGTGAGCACACATCTGTCCCAGCTATGGACAGGGCCAAAGGGCACAGGTGTGGGGGCGAGGCTGGGGACACACACCATGATCACCCTCTCCCAGCCAAAGGCCATGCCTGGTCTCAGTGGCAGGAGGGATGCAGCCCTCCTGGTGGGCAGTTTCTGGTCCCACCTGAGCTTCACAGATAGGGAAACACGGGCTGTGATCCCAGACCAGAATGCAAGTTCAGCTGAATCCCATTGAGGGCGCAGCCCGTGCTCCCCCTCCCAGCCCTCCCGGTCCGTGGCTGGCCTGTTTCCAGGGCAACACCCGGGGTGGGAGGGGCTCAGCAGCTAAAACTTCAATCATGGGTTTCCCCTGGTCACTTGCCCTGAAGTGACCCCTCCTCTAGCAGGAAGCGCTTGGGGGAGCCCACCCTCCGCTCCCTGTGCCCTGTGCTGACCACAGGAGGCTCCACAACGCCCCCTTCTATGAAACCAGTGCCTCGCCTCCTGGCCCCATCCCAGGCCCTCCCCAGAAGCCAGGCCGGGTCTGTACCAACACTCCACACCCAGGAGAGAGGGGCCCCCACCGGCCCCTGCTGGCCAGCACAGTGCCCTGCCCCCCCCACCAGGCTCCCTCCCACCCCCGCTAGCCTGAGGAGGGTCGGGCCCAGGCCCCAGGCTGTTCCGCTCCACACGCTCTCAGGGGGACGCACCAGCCAGGGCTGAGGCAGGCCCAGGCTCCCCAGGGTCCTCAGGTATAGCCCCGTCAGGGCTGAGGACAGGCCTGGGCTCCCCAGCAGCCTCCACACACATGTGGTGGGGACTCGGGGGAGGGGCACAGAGCCTGAGGCTGGGGCAGTCTCCAGGTCTCAGGGGCTCTGCTAGGAAATGGAGGGATAGGAAGCGTACACACTTGGAATTCCAAGAATGTCAGCTTGGCCCAAGCCAGGATTTGGAGGGCAGCTTACTCTCCCCGCCCCGTGCTCCCAGTAAACAACTCCTGCAGGCAGGAACAGGGGCAGGACAGGCCCTGGACCCTCCTCCAGGAAGCCTCCGGGCCCCCACCCACTCCCCAGGGCCCACCCTGCTAACATCCTGGACCCCCCTTCCTCCTTCACCTCCACAGCCACCAGCAGCCTCTGCAGCTGAGCCTGGCTCTGACCCCAGGCCACCGTTACTCACGGCCCCTGTCCTGCCCCTCTGCCCGAGCAGGATGTGCGTCCACTCATCCTGGGGGGAGGGGGTCAGGGAAGGGAAGTGGCCTCCGCTCGTGGCTCTGCACGTGGCTGGGTGGGGTATGACAAATGCCACTGGGGAAGCTGCCCAGGGCCCTGGCCAGGTTGGGAGCAGAAATCCCAAGTGTGCAGTGGATCTGGCCAGCACCACTCTGGATCCAGAAAACCCTTCATCCTCCTCCCCTGCAACTAAGGCAGACCCAGCATTGCCCTGAGAAAGCGGCAGCTGATGCCCGGAACCCAGCACAGGTCCCACCCCAGCTGGAAGCCCCAGCCCAGAGCCCCCCCATGGGTGCCACTTTGCAGCCCACCCAGCCCCCCACAGCCTACCTCGCACCTCCAAGGAGTCTTCTTTGCCTCCTACTGCACACCGACCCCCCATTTCCTCACCCCCACCCTAGGGCCACAGCAAGGAGGGTGCTGGTGCCAGCCCCCCGCACTCCATCCAAGAGACACGGGCCCCCCCTCCCTCGTCCTCCGTAGGCCCTGAGCTCCAGGGCAAGGCAGAGCTGCGGCCTTCAGCGGGTCCTGCCAGTGCAGCCTCCGAGAGTCTGCCCAGGGGTCCCCTGTGCCGGGGTCTTCAAGGTTCAATTCAAAGAGCACCACTACCACGACGCCCTCCCCGACCTCCCTCCCGGGCCCCCTCTCCCCGTGCTCAGAGGCGCGTCTCAGCGTCGGGACGGCGAGCAGCCCAGCAGAGCCGGGACCGGGGAGGGCGCACCCCGACCCCCTTCCTGGGAAGGAGCGGAAAGAACGCGGACAGGAGGCCGGGGCGGGGAGCAGCCGGCGGGAGCCGTAACTGCGCGGCCGAGGCCA